ACTAACGTTCATAACTTAAGTGATTATTTCAGATTTTATCCAAAGCTATAAGAGGTCTACCTGAGCTATAATTTTTGAGCTGACAGACCAAAAGGAAAGTAGCTAGACTACAGTAACCTCTTGGGTTACCCGAATCAAATACTGGGGTTTCACCATTATTTTATGAAGCACACAGAACACTAAAGTGTAGAGTGCAATGTTTCCGCAACAATAAATGAACTACAGAATCTCAGATTCACAGTCTACATTGTTACTTAAGTGAGAAAAGTGTAAATGTACATAGTGTGTAATAAATGTACTTGATCAATAAAAAACCTTCATGTGAGGGTAAGTATGAAATAAAATACTGAGCCTCAAAGTGGTATTACTTCAATTTTATCTGTTGCAATGTTACACACCTAGAAGCCTCAGTTGTTTGAAATAAAGATTTGAAGTAAATAAAAAAAATAATATGATTGTATGTTCAGATTTTTTAAGATGTTTAATATGGTGCAAAAAATACAGTTTAAATGCATTTGTATGCTTTGTAAAAACTATGATAATTAATCATCAAAAACCCTTATAGTGTCATTCAGGTTGGATACAGCTGCTTGAAAACTGAGATTATCTCCTATTGTATCTGAAACAGTGGTAGTTGGCTCAGTAACTTAGATATCCTTCAAGGAGGCTAATCAAGTAAGTAATTTCTCTACCTTATAGATGATTAACAGGATAAATCTCGTGTAGCATAACTGCTTAATCACATACACTGGTGTTAGATTGTAAGAAAAATAACCACATGCATAAAAAAATTTACAATTTAAATAAGTATTTCATCGTTTAACTCATCTTTTTTGGTAACTGTAAAATCAGATCCCAGTCACACTTCAAAACCCCAAAGAATACTTAATTGGAGATGCTTCAAAAATTTTTTATTATATCATTAGTGTGAAAAAGTAAAAAATATATCAAGTTTTTAAGTGAGAAGTTATTGACACGGATAGAACTTTAGAAATAATGATTGATACTTTCACATTTTATAGTAGAGGCTGTAGGAAAGTTTAGAAGTGTGTATGCTTCCTGAGAAATGGGCACATTAATCAACTTAAAAGTTTACTGTACTGGGCAGTGTTTAAGCATTTTCAGTGCTTTCTAACTAACTAGAACTAGTCATGATTAAATAAGAGTCTTCACAGATTTTACTAAACTATGCCTGTTAGTAGATTCACAGATAAAGGTTTCTACTTAAATAATGTGTTTGTTTAGATCCAGATCTCCAGTTGAACAACTACAGAAGGAACGAGGAAGCAGAGGACGAGGTCGTAACGACAGCAGATACTCAAGAGGACAAAACAACCGCCGGGTGTACGTTGCAAACATTCCGTACGACTCAAAGTGGACTGAAATTAAAGATCTTTTCAGGAGAGAAGGTATGACATTCACGATGTATATTTTTACATAATTACAATTCATATGCAAGATCATTAAACTTTGATGTACTCAGTTCTTGAAATTACGACATCAAGTCCACAGCAAAAAAATAGCTGTCATAAGTGCATTACAACACGATGGCAAATGTCATCGTCCATTCTGAAAATCTTCCATTTGACACACGAGCAGGGTACGATGAAAACATTTTCACTGAGTTAAAAAACGAAAGACTTGCACTAGTGTGTGTTAGTTCTGGTTATGAATCACATTTTGATTAAAATATTTTATTAATTAAACTATTGCAGTGTGAAAACTACTAAAGAGGGAGTTATCAATATTTTCAGTGGTCTGCACAAGACATTAAAATACACATTAGATCTGAGAAGTGGAAACTAACCATGTAATGTTACCTACCTATATTTTTTTTTGGCTTTTCCACAAGTAATATAGATGTGACAAAATCAGATGCTTGGCATTTAGGGCTGCCCATTACAACAATCCTCTAAATTCTGTTTTGTAAGTGACATTTTAAATTGGACAAGGTAAGGTATTGCTTGGCATTTGGGGCTGCCCATTACAACAATCCTCTAAATTCTGTTTTGTAAGTGACATTTTAAATTGGACAAGGTAAGGTATTGCTTGGCATTTGGGCTGCCCATTACAACAATCCTCTAAATTCTGTTTTGTAAGTGACATTTTAAATTGGACAAGGTAAGGTATTGCTTGGCATTTAGGGCTGCCCATTACAACAATCCTCTAAATTCTGTTTTGTAAGTGACATTTTAAATTGGACAAGGTAAGGTGTTTGTATCAGTAAATATTCTAGTATTTATCTGTTTGAGATTGATGGTATGAAGAAGCGTATATCAAAGTTAGTTGTGTAACAAACTATACTTCAAAAATGAGATTATAGTGTGTGTATTTTAATAATAATGTGTGTGTAAATATATTGAGAGTTACATATTACACATTTTATCTTAAATGAACAACTGTTTGCTGCACACTAATGTGAAGTACCGAGTTTTAAACTAAGTTCTGAGTTTAAAAAAAGTATTTGGCTCTTTCATGCAAATAAATAAAGTTAACATTAAGAAATATATGATATTAATTCTTTTAAAGGTTGTACTCACAAGAAGTAAACTGTATTATTGAAGTTAACTTGCTTTGAAAATATAACATTTCTTCTTTTACAGACTTTTTAGCCAGTCAGCCATGATTTTGTTGACTGTTTATAAAAACCGGCAGCTGCTTTGTTTTTGTATTTGTTCACTAGTTTACAGTAAATCTTCAACCCTTTAAAAAAATTAGTGAGAGATATCTTTGACAAATATAAAATATTAACTTAATTATTATTTGTAAATTTATCTTAGCAACGTACTGTTTTGTTTATTATGTATTTTATATGTGCCCTGGTAAATGTATGTAGGAAATTAATTTTTGTGTCTTACATATGCATTGAATTTTTCTTATAGTTGCTGAAGTAAATTATGTAGAATTGTTTCAAGATGAAAGTGGAAAGTTTCGAGGTTGTGGGTAAGTTTTGATAAGATAAATATTAAATATTTCTATTTGTTACGTTGAAAGAAGCTAGTTTGGTAGAGTTTAATTTTTATATAAAGAAAAAGTTGATACAAAAATACTAAGTTAATGTTTTATGAATTTCAAAAAAGACACATAGTTTGAGCACTTTTAATGCTCAATTAATAATTATCTTTTAATCGTCTTTTAAAGTAAAACTCTGTCACTGTTGATTTTTTAGTATATATATATATTTGTATTATGCCTATTGAGCATCTTGGCCATCCCTACATATAGTCTATGATCAATTTCATTCTTATGTTTAGAGTGACTGTACAGCTAAATAACTGTATGATATTTGTCATTAAAGTAGTGATCTACATTAGTTGTATATTCAGCATCGTACATTTATCGATTGGCCAAGGTATCATTGTTGGATTTTTACTTATCTTTAATAAAAACTAGTTGCTAAGGTGACTCATCACTCATCAGAACTTATATGATACATAAGTTTGATTTTATTACAATTATTTTGAACATTGTATATTCTTTAAAAATTATTTTATTTTTGTGATTTATGAGATGTTGTGTGTAAACTAGTTTAACAAATTTTCGGAGATAGTTACCCATATATAATATCCGTTTATAGTTTCTTGTCTATCACAGTACCCATGCTAGTGTTATAATTTGTTCAAGGTTTAGGTAAAGCTTAATTTATGGATTTCATTTTATTTTATGCAGATGTTCGTGTGGATTCTCCCTTGTTTACAACTACTGATAAAACTTTGCTTTTTTTTAGCCACATTTTAATACGATAATACTGTTTAAAGTTTTATTAAATACACGCTCAAGCTGTTGGTGATTTTTCACTTATGGCCACAAATATTTTGCATGAGAAGCATTGTAGTGATTTGTTTTAACTTTGCCATTAGTGGTTTGTTGGAACTTGAGACAATAAACAACATGTTCCTTGAACATGTCATAACTGATCCATCAGCTTTGATGTTCAGCCTGTGTGTCCTACACCAAGGTAAATGTTAACCCACACAAATAACAGCCCTCAGTTTAAGTTATGGTTTGAATGGCAGAAGCTGGTAAAACATTGTAGGAATAATATGTGTGATAAACATCGTAAGTGCAGGTGTTTGGTTCACATTCTTTTACTTTGTTCATTAATAAAAATATTTAAAAACATGCAGCCTGAAATTGTTTTTGTCACAAATATTACACTACAATTTATTTTAGAAAAAATCAAGATTGGTTAAAATTTCCTTATTTGTTTTCAGAAATTGTTTCTTTAAAGCTATTTGCTTATGTTTTGTGTAAGGAACAAAATTCATACACAAAATATCCCTCTTAAATTTCTGAATTTATAGTTTAAATTTTTTCAACAAAACGGGTAACATAATTGAAGTTTGTTGTATAATTGTATCCTTTCTCCTTTTTTTCTAGAGTTGTGGAGATGAAAGATCAGGCATCAGTTCAAAAAGCAGTTGAAATCTTGCATAGATATGAATACAAAGGCAGAAGTTTGGTTGTTAAAGAGGTAAAACACTTAGAAAGCTATGTATTTATGTTTGACACAAACAGTATCAATAACATCTAGTTTGTCAGTCAGCCCTCATATTATTAACTTCTTTTGATGATATAACAGTTTCCCATGGATTACTTCTTCTTTGTGTCTCATTTTGGAGATAAAATTTTGATCTCTGTGCTGAGTTGTGTGTCATAAAACCATAAACAAGGCACGAGCAGTCTACATAAGACCATTCAAAGTACCAATTAATGGTGAAAAGTACACAGGGTACCCTAGCCTTACTTAGGAAGATTAACTACAGTATATTAATAGAGACCCTGTAACCAACAAAATCATGATCAACTTGGTGTAATTCTAAGGTTATAAATACCACATGTAATTCTAAGGTTATAAATACCACATGTAATTCTAAGGTTATAAATACCACATGTAATTCTAAGGTTATAAATACCACATCTAATTCTAAGGTTATAAATAAGGTTATGATGAGGTTTGTTTAATGAAAAAACATAGAAATATTATGCAAGTTTTGTTAAGTGGAAGATATTGTAGTTTGGTCTTGAGATAGAAATATAATTGAGATACTTTCTTGGTAATTAAACACAGACTGAACAGTGTAGGGAGTTTAGAGCAAAAGTTGATTAAAAACGATAATTTTATTTACTGCAGTAGTAGAAACATCTTTTTTTTTTGATGCCCCATACCTCGTAAAATAACAACAAACCAGGAACGATCCACAGAGAACTGTCTAAATATTAATGTGATTTTACTATTTCTTGTAATAATTCAACTTTCATCTTGTGATGAGGTCAGCTAGTATCATTACAAGTTTTCCTTTATATTAATGTGATTTTAATATTTCTTGTAATAATTCAACTTTCATCTTGTGATGAGGTCAGCTAGTATCATTACAAGTTTTCCTTTATATTAATGTGATTTTAATATTTCTTGTAATAATTCAACTTTCATCTTGTGATGAGGTCAGCTAGTATCATT